GGGGGGGGGGGGAGGCGGCGAAGACAAACTTAAAACCCAGATCTGACGGCACTGCACAAATCAATTATTCTCGACCTTGATAAATTATTCAGTTAAGCCTGTTTTTGTTTTGTTCCGACGCCTAAAACGACTCAAGAGCTCAAAAGGGCTGATCGCACAGCTTGTGTTGGGCGGTTCGACAGGATGTTTTGCCTGGAATAATTCACAACATTGGCAGGGCAGACGACGGGAACAGGACCCTACGAAAAGATGAAATCTGGAAAGAAAGGGAGAGAGAAAGGTCGAAATGTGGGGGGCAGAGGAGGGCGAGTCTTATGACACTCCGAAGCAAAGCAAACGGGAACAGGTAGACCCCACCTTGTGAGTGTCTCAGAGCCTGTTTCCTTAAGAAAAGGTTACTATCACAGAAAACTTCTCTGGGTGGGTGTTGGGAGATCAGCTTCTGGGAGCAACAATGGTGAGGGGAAAACACGACCTTGACTTTCATCAAGGTCCCTGTATTTGGGTCCCTTCCAGAGAGGAAATGCCAGGAGTGGCCTGAAGAGAGAAGAGGGACTCAAGACCAAATCGCAAACTTCATGAAAAACAAGATCTTCAGAGCTTAGGTTTTGTTTAACTTTTCTCAGGTGTTTATTTCTCTCTCTCTCTCTCTCTCTCTCTCAGCACATCTTTTGTTTTTCTTTTTTCTTCTTTTTTTTTCTTGAGAGAAAATATAATGTATACATCCAAGAAGTCATGCATTTTCTGACAAAGCAAGCACAATCCACTTTTCATTTTTAAAAAATCAAAATTCAGAAATACAACAGGATGCATATTTATCACATTCCTAAATGAAAGGAAGTGCATTAATTGGATTTCATGTTAGATTTTCCCACTGGATTTAAATACCAATGAATAGAGTCCCTAAACTGACATGAGTTTATAATGTTTCACTTTTGGGTCCTCATTTTCTTTATTTTAAAAAAAAGAGAGAAAGAAAAAAGAAAAGTGTTTAAATTTTAGAAGATTTTGGAATTGTTCTCCAGAGAGCAGTTATTTTCCAACTGTGCAAGGAAGACAAACTTTTCCTTCCTGGCCCTGAAGGACACATCAGTACCGGTCAGCACCAAAGATGTTCCTTTCTCACCGCTGAGAATGGTTCAAACTCTCGCATATTTTAACAAATTTTGTTCCTTAATACACCTGCCACGATCCACTTTCACCAGCTAGATTTGGTATTTGGGACTGTATTTAAACCGGAGCATTAGAGGGTTTTTTTTTTAACAAAATAGAACTTAACTTTGAAGAAACTCACCCGCAGATTATGATGAACTTGGAGCAGGTGATTCTTCCTACCATATTTAATTTGAAGGTTTCTAAGGGTCCACATGGTGACAATGCCAACCGACGGCAACGAGGTGCAAAGACGCTTCCCTCCACTGGGCGGCGCCAAGAGCTCCAAACCGAGGGAGCTGGCTATTGTCTCTTGCTCTAAAAGATGCAAGACACACAAATGAGCTCTCCACCTTCTAAGGCTGACTCCCTGACGATTGTGTGACCGCTCGCCATTTCAAAGCTACACATACGTCGGAAGTTTTCCTTTTGTTTTAATCTATCAGTTTATTTCCAACTGCTTAAGGATTTGGAACAGATATGCTTAGAAAAATAATACGTGAAAGAGAAAGAGCTTGGCATCTCTGCTGACCAAAAAAGGGGGGGGAGAGAAAGACAAGAAAAAATGTAACTGAAATTGAGTCCCTTAATAGACTGTAACTGGGAGAGTGGAATGAGAAGAGGGGCAGAGGGAAAAATATAAAATTAAAGAAAAATTAACTGAAAACTATTTTAATAGGTGCCAGTTTAAATGATCTGTGTAATTACTGATTGTTTTAGAGGATGAAAGTTTTGAGAGGATGAAAGTTTTAATAAAATTTGCGAGAGCTATAAGCCTCTCCAAGTTTTTTAAGATGGGCAGTTTGGAAGGGACTTAATGACGCTGGCTCTGCCTGGAAGTTAGCTGGGTGCTGTGAGAGGTGATCACAGGAAGGCAAGCAGAGATGCAGGGGAAGACGGCAAGAGAAGAGAGTGTTGATACCACCTTACCACTTTCCAATGTTCGTGGGCATGGCACTCAACCTTGCAGATCACCAAGTTCCTTCTCTGCTGAGAGAGAGAGGGAGACAGGGAAGCAGGGAGGGAAGAAGGG